GCCCAAGAATATAATAAGAATTATTGTTGAAAGTTTTACAGAGAGAGAAACTCAAAATAAGGAGTAATTTCCTGACCACAAGACCAGTTAAAAAGTAGAATAGCCTTCCTCATGGAATCATGAATGTTGCTTCCTTGGTGATATTCAAGCAAAAAATGGACATCTATTTGTCTGGAATGGACTAGAAGATCTCCAAGATCCTTTCCAAATCTATAATGTCTTGAGTCAGGGAAAAGAAAAATAGCCATATTAAAAGTCTTGCAATTATGGAAGACAGACAGACAGACATTTTAAAAAGAAGAAAGGCACACAAATATCTGACTATTAGAGGTGGCATGAGGAGCCATATTATAATGAGGTCAGATACCTTCAGGAGTTGTTAAAAGCTCCACGTGTCCTAATTTTTGTTTTATTAGTAGTTTGTTCTAATTGCTCCCCAAAGCTCTGCTGCCAAACCATGAATGCCTCACAATTGCTAAGGAGGCAAAAAGAATCCCATTCAATCACTTCTTGAATTATCCTGTTTTCCTTTCTTCCCAAAGCAAAAAATCTCCACTAAAAAGCAGCTTATCAGCAAAGACAAGCTGCATTAAGCAATGTGTTTATGAAATATATGCTAACCTTTATTCCTTTGAGTATGTTGTTTCTACAGTTTTAGTCTGTTTTAGCCAAGAGCTGCCATTTCTGCTGTAAGGATATTTAGACTCGAAATAAATTAAAGGCTGATGTCAGCAAGACATCTCCATGCTTTGCACAAATATTAATAAAATGATCATGGACTGTTGCTAGCTTTATAAAAATTGGGTCACAGCTTAAAACCAAAAAGGTGGCTGAGCAAATAACAGTTACATTATTTTTAGAAGAGCTTTTGACTTCATCTCAAAACTGAAGTGATTGGTGGTACCATCTACAAGGACAAGAAGCCGCTTGAAGCCCAATGTAGAATGCTAGGAATTGAATCTTGGAGTACAAGCCACTATGAGACTACATTTCTTCAATAATAAAATAATGTAGAAGACTACACTTCTACAGAATTGTAAAGATTATCGAACATATTGTGCAACTCTAACAAGATCTTACTCTATTGATTAAACAGATATAAAAATGTTGAGCATATTTGAATATACCTGTCTAATTATGAAGAATAAAGCTAAGAGACATATTCTAAAAACCAAAGACATAAACATGGATAGAATCTCTACTCATTTAATACTGAGTCTGCCATTATTTATATTGAAGGTAAAGCCAACCAGGGCATCTTAGCCCCTTCAATCCACCCATGCAGAGAACAGAGTATCTCAAAAATAGATTTATCTAAATCCAGTAAATTCTTCCACAAGTAGCAAGAAATTAAACCCATAATGGGGCATAAGGAGAATGGTCTGTGCCCAAGGCAAACATCTCAGTTAGGGCAAAGCACTAAGAGTCCTTTGCATTTTTTCCTACCATTGTGTAGTTGTCTTGATTTTTAAAACTTATATATGAGTTTTTTCATTTGTCATTTCTTTCTTCCCTTCACAAGCAAAAGAAGGAGGCATGATGAAAAGAGAATAGAGCCCACATACATCATGAAAATATAAAAATCCTTATGGCTGTGTTTACATACCCAAATTTTTACCATTTCTTTTAAAGAATCCTGTAGAACAAATATAATCTGAAGAAAGGATATGTTTTGTGGTACAAGGAAATATTTGCAAGCCTACAGCATAATATTTTCTTGCAGTTTCTAAAGGTAAAAAATGTTTCTGATATATAAAATGCTCAAAGAGAGGTGGAATGAGAGTGGAGGGCATACCACTTATTTTCAGTCATATTTGCATAGATCCTGGGTTTTCTTTCTAGCATGTTTATGACAAGACACATGTGAATAAGGAAAAAAAATCCAATCAGTATTTTTTTAAAAAACAATCCAATTTATTTTCTGTATATTTTAAATATGTTATGTATACTGTATATTTTAAATATGTTGTGTATTTCCTCCAATTTCCACACATTTTTTTCTCAATTCATTATTAGAAATTTGGCATGTTGGCCAAGACTGTCCAATCTGTCCAAGCAATATGTAAAAATGAATGCAAAGGCATTTTCAAAAGTGCGAAGGGAAAGAGCATTCTTATACTGTTTTTCACTGCAGTTATATAAAATTGCTGTATGAAGCAACCATACAGAAAAATGCATATTAAAATACACTTGAGGAAAAAAGAAGACCATTTACTACTTAGCCAGGTAAACAAGTAAGGAAAAAAGAAATACGCCTCCTTGCAACACTTTATTTCGTTAAAAAAAAAATCACTTAGCTTTCAAGTTCAGCTTCATTATATTACTAAAAACCACAGGAAAAAGGGAGAAAAAAATCTTCTGTTTTCTTCAGACCATGCATAACATTCTATTATATATCTATTGTCCCTTTTATTATATCCCAATTTTTCTACATGATGTGTCATTTATTAAGGATCATTATACAATTATAGGTCTAAATACAGAAATGTAAAAAGTTAGATGCCAGACACCAATTATGCTTCTAAAAGTTGTAAATTGTCTTTAAAATGAGGGGATTTGATTGAAGATGATGTTCCCAAAAGTTCATTTCTTTTTTGGATGTTGTAGACTGAATGGAAGTCCCTTGTAGTTAGTGTCATTCCTGTTCTGCAAAATTCATAAAACTGTCAATTTTCCATTTGGTTACCATTTATAACCTTCTCAAGAAAATGAGTAACCATTGAGAATGCATTGCTATTGACTTCTAGGGAAGAACTGGCAAACTGAAGTTAGCTCTGAAGCCTGCAGGAGAATGAAGAGCCAGCAAGTAGTCCAGTTCTTCTGACAAGGAATGGACCTGAAATCGTCCACAAGCGCTCTTCAAAGCTGCTCCTTACAAGGAGGTCAGAAGACAGCAGTCTCTGGTGGGTTTAGAGCTCTAGAAAATATGGCAAAAGCTATCCTATTCAATCCTTAGCTGGAGCTTTGAAGGACACTGGGTTTGCATATTTCATTTTCTAATCATTTTCAGAAATTGCTTGTTAACTACTTTTCAGCTATTAGGACCTTTGGATCGACAAATTTTACAATACGAGGTAACTCTCCTTCATTTATTAGTGAAAGAAGATTTAAATAAAAATTTAAAGACTTAACAAATTATTCTGGAATAAACACCAAGGGTGAACAAACCTTTGATTTTAAAAGTTACAAACAAACTAAGGGTTCCAGATAAATTTGAAATAAGATTTTAAAATTAAGTATAAGAATCTTTCCTGTGGGAAAATATTTTTATTTTGAATTCTTTAAAAAAATTTGGGTCCTTGAAGGTTGGACACTGAACGACCTAGAAGGGGCGTTGTCTTACCTGAACGCCTTTTCTCAGTACGGAGATGGAGAATCCACCGGTGGGTTTTCATTGGATGCCTGCTCCTGAGACCAAGTAGCCAAACTTTGACACGCCCCCTGTTGCTGTGAGATCCAGTCTTATTGAGGGCGAAAGCGGCTGATGATGTACCAGGTATTGGCTCTCTAACCCCTAATAACGGCCTGACTGACCTAAGGGTGGGTGTGGATTCTCCATCTCCGTACTGAGAAAAGGCGTTCAGGTAAGACAACACCCCTTCTCCAGTACAGGAGATGGAGAATCCACCGGTGGGACATACCAAAGCCTCACTGTCCCAACGGGTGGGAATCAGGTAAGGCCGAATCCGTGGTCCCCGCAATCACCTGTTGGAGCACCCTTCTACCGAAGGAGGCATCAGCCGAGGCGAAGCGATCAATTTTATAATGGCGCACGAACGGGGAAGGTGAAGACCATGTCGCAGCCCTGCAAACTTCCTCGATGGAGGCCTGAGTGGCCCACGCCGCAGATGTTGCAGCGCTGCGAGTGGAGTGCGCCGTGATATGATCTGGAACCGGCAGGGAGGAGGACTTATACGCCTCCGCTATGCAGGCCCTGATCCACCTGCCAATGGTGGAGGTGGACACCTTCTGTCCTAGAGAGGACGGATGAAAGGAGATGAAAAGGGCCTCAGACTTCCGAAATGGCGCTGTGCGTTTGATGTAGCGCTTTAATGCCCTGCGAACGTCAAGCGTGCGCCACTGACGTTCCAGGTCGTGAGAAGGATTGGGAGAGAAATTTGGCAAAACGACCTCCTGAGTCCTGTGAAAAATAGAGTTGACTTTAGATACAAAGGTGGGATCTAAGCGAAGGACCACCCGGTCCTGGTGGAAGACGCAGAGATCCTCCCTGATCGAAAGGGCAGCTAGTTCCGAGATACGTCTGGCAGACGTGATAGCTACAAGGAACGCGACCTTAAGAGACAAAGCCCGCTTTGTTAATGGACACTGAACGACCTAGAACAGACATGTCAAACCTGTGACGTCACGTGACATCGCACAACGTATCGGGATGGTTTTGCCATTGCCGGCAATAGGGTGGGTGCAGCTTCTGGATGACGCGTCCGGCCCGTGGGCCAGCAGTTTGACACCCCTGACCTAGAAGGAGCTAAAGATGACAATTTAAAAAAAAGAGTATTTAAATTTTACTTACTAATACAGAATGGAGTAAAGGTGGATTATTTGACCAAGGTTAAAATAGAACTGTTGTTATCTCTGGTAATTTTAATGGACTTTTTGGTGACATCAGGACTGAAATGATGAGGTTTTTAAGGATTAGTTTATAGATGAGAGATGTGATATGGGAAGAAGAGATCATCTGTTGTATTTTAAGGGGAGGAGATAAGTTAAAAATTGTTTCTACTATATATTGTGATGAAGGGAAGTCATTTATATATTTCTTTTATTTTTTATACTATAGTTTTATTTTTTCTTTCTTTCCTATTTTTTTCTTTTCTTTTTCTTTCTGTACCTTCTATTTTTATATATTTTTGGTGTATTAGTTTTTATCATAGTTATTGTAATTTTAATAAAATTACTATTAAAAAAGAAAATGTATTGCTGCTCATAAGAACATGATTGCTTGCTTCACTTCAACAAAACCAATCTGGATTAATTTTTACCTTTCTCAGAAGAAAGCAGATCCGTTCAATGTTTCTCAACCGCTCTCTCTGTCAAAGGAAAGTGGGAAAAGATGGAGTGAAAAGGTACAATTTAAGAGACCTAAAATTGAACAACTAGTGTGAATCAACATATATTTTACCTGGTCTCAGAAGAAAGTCTATAGTATACTAGCCTCTGGTATAATTTGCATGGTACTGCCTTAGTTATCTTCTGAGATCATCTAAACATATTTAAATTCAATTATATCAAATGTCTTCACTTTTGCCAAGGCAACTGAAGTTAGTCCCAAATCTGAACCACAACTCTCAGCATATTAGAAACTATTCAGCAGTGATTGGATGATTACAAATTTTCTACTGCAACTTTAAAGATAGCAACTGATTCCTGGAAATTCATGCATGAGATAAAATAAGGAGCCTATAGTTTCATGATATATAGATGAGCTTGCTGCCACAGAGTGGACAAACTATGGAAGACAGAAACAAATAATGCTACTAAAGAACATTATGAGACAGAAGCAAAGTGTGTGTTTTGTGCAGGCACACTTTATCTTATACTTTCTTCTTATACTGTGAAAGTCTCACCTTATTTTCTCAAAATATGGTATATATGTAACAACCATCATTATTGCATGATCAGCTGGTATTTTCATGCTGCCTTGAAGTACCTAAGCTTTTATTGCAGAATTTAAAGGTTAAAATGTTCTCTAAAAGGAAAAAAAATGCTTCCTTGGGATGTACAGTTGGCTAAATGAGAGATCAGCAAAATCTTGAATTGTGGGTACTTTTCTAGAAAAAACTCTATTTTTCTAGAGTTGGTGTTATAGTTAATTATAATTGTCATATTTAAGCATACAAGATCTATTATCAATTACATCTTAAACTGGATCACCTTGGGGCTGAGGTTTTACAGAATTGTTTTCCCATTACATAATTTGAGCAGATGCTACATAGCAAACTGCAAGCCCATATCTGGGGGTGGGGTTACCACATTTCATTCAATTGAGAGGTATAGCCCTGTGCCCTATGAGGAAAGTTGCAAATCAAGTCACTTGCTTCACTGTTTTAGATCCAAGTGTGATCTGTGGCAACTTACGTTTAAAAAAACCCAGCAACTGGATGACTAAACACTGGGACTGCATAAAGCATTTGAAAGAGAGTGCTTTGCTAAGCACATCAGAAATTGCAAGGCCCCCATCCTCAAAATGTTAGAGCAGGCATGTAATTTGGAAGGCTTGTTCAGCTCCTTTTCCCTGGCTGTCAACAAGTGTGTATGCATGTGCAGCTGCTTCATTTCATTGGTAATTCCAGAGAAAGTGTAGTCAGCATATGTACACAAATATATAGATAATGAGCTGCACAAGCTTTCCAAAGAACACAGATGCTTTACTCAATGAAATTGTGGTGCTTCACACAGCTTTAATAAAGATCTATATCTGAAATATTTGAGTGCTGCTGTCAGTCGGTGAAAACAAAATTGGGAGAAAGGGGAGAGATAATAATCAGTGGAAGGCAATTTACAAACCTCACTAGTTTGGCATTAAATTATTTAAGTACAATGAGAAAGCAGATTTCCAACTGTGTGCAAAAACTATGGGAAGACTTAACCTCACATATTCCCACTTCTATTTTCATTTAGTGAATGCTACACAATATGTGCTCACATGTCAGAATAAAAAATATGATGAGAAGATGCAGGAGAAGTCTTGCCTGGTTATCATGCAACAGTTTGAACCTGTTAGACCTGAGGAAGTGGACAGGTTCCTCAGTACTGTAAGCTCTGCCACCTGCTTTTTAGATCCATATCTCACCTTGTTTGGCAAAGTAGCCTGGGAGGTCTCATGTTAATGGGTTCTGGTGAAGGTTGATTCTTTTTTGAGTGAGGGAGGTGTTCCTTTATCTCTTAAGAGGGCCTTGGTTCACCCCTCCTCAAGAAACCATCTTTGGATCCCATCATACTGTCCAATGTCTCTGCTCCCTTTCTTGGGGAGGGTGGTGGAGAAAGTGACTGTGCAACAGCTTCAGAAGCCTTGGGAAAGTGGATTATTTGGATGCTTTCCAATCAGGAAAGGAAGGCTGAGCCAACCTCAAGCCTGTCAGGATCAAACTCCAGACTGCTGGGAGAGTTAGTTATGGAATATCTTCTGCGTGAAATTATGTGCAGATACTATTATATCTATTTGTATTTATAAGGTCAGCTAACATACATTTCTTCTTCAGGCATGCACATCTAAC